GTTTATAGACAGCGGTTTCCCATATTATTAGCGTCAGGGAAGGGAAGCTTGATACGATAGTCTCGCTTTCGCGTCGCTAATATAGAAAACCGCGGTCCAACTAAACCACGTACGCAGAACTGGAAGAGGAGCTATTGAAATTGATTCTGCTATTTGTAATTATTAAAACCTGGATCATTGGATAATGCAATTCAAGACTTTTTATTGGCTTAGCCATTGTGGTATATGAGCCAATATACCATGATCCACGATATGGTAAGCGTACGCGTCAGCTTAAAATTAAAAGAGAGCTAAAAATTTAATAAAATTTAATAATTTAATGTAACGTTTATAATAAAACAATTATTCCACTCGCGCTTGTTGGATATGAGATGATTATAGCCAACTCGGCGCTACGCGTCTCGTTGGCTGTCTATCATTTCATATCCGACGCGCGCTCGTGGAATAATTGTTAAATATTCGAGGTAATCACTAGCAGCGCAGGGAGTGTATTTTGTTTACGTCTATCACTCTCAGTTCAGTCTGGAGCCAAATAGAAGCCTTTTAACAAGTTAAAGATTTAATTTGAGTCATCCGAATTGGCAGTGCATCTCGAAATCTCAAACGATATATAGAAGGCTCTTGAAGTGAAGAAATGATTGAAGATACAACAAATGTGGCAATTTTCAGTTGAATGTCGAAAGTAATCCCGGTTTGCTTTCGTTTTGTCCTAAATCGGTGTGTGATCAATGCAAAAGAAGAAAAAAACTCGCGCTATCATATCAACTAATCAGAATGAAAAGTAAAACCCAATCGCAAGTCACTCAGATTTTCCTGCGCCTCCAGCAGTTCGCTTGTTTTTACTTTGCGATCTCACTCGCTCATTGGGATATTTTGAGATTCCTTAGCGATAACAAAGAATCCTGTAAAAATTTTCCTCGCCCCAAGTATGAGGCTCGTAGCTTAGTTGGTCGTGGTCCCCAACTAGTATCTGGGAGGCTTGGGTTCGAATCCCAAGATCACGTGTCAGGCCCATGGAATGTACTGTGTCGACGTCAGACGCAATTTCCGCCACACTTGCCATTTTAGCATTGCGGATCGTCTCTGTCGATTGTTGTTGTACACATTCTGTTTTGATTTCTTCTCTGCAATAGGCCATTTTACAGTTGTGTACTTAGTTGCCAAGCCTTTGATTTGGAATGAGGCTGAAGGTGACCTTGTCGTGATAGAGACCTGTATCTAGTTAGCATGATAACAAAACGATTTACTTTTGAAAGGCAGCAAGGTTTGTATCAGAACAAGGTCACCCCTAGCCTCACTCTCATTCAAAGGCTTGGCAACCAAGCCGCACAAATGTAAAATGGACTATTTCTCTGATTGCATCTCAACAGCGATGCTCATTTCTTTACCTCTACCACAAACTGAGTCGGTAAATGGCATATTAGGAGTGGGATCTTAATTCGACGTAAAAAAGGAACCAATGAATGCTTAGTTGAGAATTACTCTGGCTACAAAACGCCTCTAGTCGATAATTATACTCAAGTAACACTACCTTTTTCACTGTTGCACTTCCTGTGAGCTCTCTCGTCTGATTCGTTTGTGGGAAAAGGTTGTTCGTTGAAGAACATTGATGGTGAATGGATTAACTTTCGAAACGACTCCACAGCTTTTGTTTAGTCAGTGAATCCCGTGACAGACTTGGCTATATCTAATACTTGAGGATAGATCGACTTTAACATGGACCAACCAAGCTTGTAAACAGATTCTGTGGACGTGAAAAATGACTGGAGATCAGATTAAGGGAGAATACATTCAGGGGTCCTAAGGGTCTTCCCCTTGACTTCCGCCCCCCGCTCTCCCTGGTGGGATAATTTTGTTAGTCAAATCTTACACTTTGCGAGAAAGAGCAAATCCGAGGAATCTACATGGCATGAATTTTTTTCTAGGGCTAGATACCTCCAGTCTCTCACTTTATTTATTCGCATTCTCTTGAAGTTAAGCGAGTTAAAATAATGGTAACATCAACATTTCAATGTCTGCCAAATGACTTCCGCGCTGTTGGCACACAGGAGTGGAGAGCACTGACGTGACTTTCCCGCGCATATAACAGTCACGCCGTGACTGTTATATGCGCTTTATTAGCATGCTCAGCTGTCATGCCGTGACAGCTGCGCATATTAGGGACTTTAAGAAACCACGACGGCGATGCCAAGGAAGACTTCGATTAAAAAATGAATTTCTACTCTTAGTTAGAATTTCAAAAATGGCTGCAGGAGCTTACTGTCTCATACAGCGTCACAGCTCAACTTCAGCATGACGTATAAAGTAGCCGTTGAGTTCCAAATGGAAATTAAAATAATTTGCCGTCGCGGTTTCGGTTCGCAGACGACGCAAATTTTGGCGATTTCACGTTGTTGTTTGCATAGGACGGCTAAGAAATGTACAAAGTTTCAAAACGCACGTGCTGAGCTATTGTTCTGCTAATTAGATCTCTTGTTTTTCCACGTCCTCGTTGCCGTCGCCGTCGTGGTTTCTTAAGGTCCCTAATAATTCTACCTCTGTAATACACCTCACTAACTCATTAATATATTTTCTAAGTAAGAGTAAACAGCTCAAGTGTTAGAAGTTTGAATAAATATAAAGCGAACTACGCTCACTTACCAGCTGTGTGATTTGTTGTTGTAAAAAATCGCATAGTTCTCTCGTACCCAGCCTTCCCATCGATTATTTCACCGCTGGGCAGTTTCTTACTCGCGGACTCAGAAACATTAGCAATACCGTTATAGTACACATAATGTAACGGGCGATTAAACAGTCCGCTGGAAACGTTACTAGGCACACAGTGCTTCATGTGATCCTCCTTAAGATATCGCAGCAAATTCACCAAAGGAACTCCCACATAACTAATCAAACTGTCTGCCATAGAATGTTCTAAAGATACATTTTGTCTCTGTAACCACAGCTCTTCCACGTCCTGAAATCTCTGGTAAAACCCAGCCGTTAGAAATGGATTTGCAAATGATTCCATCATGATGTCTTCGACAAACAGACTGTCCGCAATTTTTGGATACATTTGGGTTAAACAATCCAATCCAACTCGACACTCTTCGACGGAGCCTACCATACCTGTTCTCACTCCCCGCCTGATGTTGTTTATGTACTGCTCTATTCCCCTTCCAAAGCCTTTTAGAACTTGAATGATGGTCTGCATATCTTCTATTGTTGACGGAGACAATTTTTTCAGGAACATACGAAAGTGATATGGTAGTCTGGCAATAACATCCGTGTAACAAAATCTGTTGGGACCGAGCATCCACTGACCTGAAAAAGCAGACAAACGTTTTCAAAAATTATAGTCCCCGTAAAAAAATATTTTCATTTTCTGACTTAGACTACGAGCTGTCGCTCCTTTGCGGAGAAGTCCGTTGCGCGAGTTAAAAATTATCAGTAAAAAAAAACTATCTTTCGCTCCGCGCAGAGTTCTGGGAGCCAGGCGTACGAAAAGTAGAAGCATTCCCAAAGTTCCACCGGTGCTCTAATGTTATTATTGATTTTTGTTTACTCACGGAACAGACTTCGTTGAAAAGGACAAACTGCTCGTACTCTATGATTTTTTACCTAATCAGTTAACGAAAGGCTGAAGTTAATGTAATTTTAAACGTTCCAAGAGACGGTTTTCGTTTCGTTTGAATCCTTTTCACTCTTAGTCACTCTTACTGATTTATTCCTGGTTTTCTAACTAACTGGAATGAAATAAACGTAACTTTTTCCAAGTTGGAAGTAGTTTTCAAAGTTGCTTAAGAATCACGCAGAATATGCTGAAGTTAAGAACTTACTTTAAACTTGAAGCAAATCACAGAAAACTGTAAACAGACAAGAAAACTCGAACCACTTTCTCAACCGATCAGATGCAAAACTGAAACTAACCGCGTCTTAATTACCCACGTTTTCACGCACTTCGTTAAGTTTAGTCTTGAATCTGATTGGTGGAGAAAGTGGCGCGAGTACTGTGGACCAATCACATAACGAAATAAAGCAAAACTACAGCACTCAGTTGAAAACTACACAGTAACCAAGTCTGCATGTACCTGAATAATAGTCAAAATTATAAACATTTCCAAAATTATGCTCCAGAAAATGCTTCATCTCGGCCAGTGCTTTTGCTTCTCTCGTCTTCAGCAGCCCCGTATCAATATGTAGTTTGTTAAGCTCTCCTAATAATGACCTTGATGTGTCGGTGATGTCCTTAATACTGGACGGAATCGGATTAAATGCTTTGAAGTTCTTTCTGACTTCATCAGTTGATACTCGTGGCTTGTATGGTACTTCATAAGGATGCAGCTTGTAAAATACGTCCTTTAATTTGTTTACAAAGTTCAGGAGGCCTGTGAAAAACAATAGAATGAAGTTGAAAATCTTGCCATACACCACAAATTTGTTACATTGAACAGCTTCTCTACTGGAGATATACCGTCTTCCCAATTTTCGTTTATTGCAGGAGTTTCTCATCTTCAATCAAAGACAAAAGGCTGTAAGGGGTTACAATTAATTTGTGACAGGACTTCGTGTCGACCAAGGCCGGTCTCTAGTCAAAGTAATCAAACTTGTGTTACTTTAACAAATCGACAGTGGTTTGGCGCATAATTAGTATGTTTGGCGTGGTCTGTATTCTTGTCGACAACGATACGTATTCGTCATTGCAATGGTCAAAATGTCGTGGACTCAAGCGGCGGCGCAGTCGAGTGATCCGCAACAAATTTCGATGACGAATATCGTTGTCGATAAGATTACAGACTCCGCTGAACCACTGTCGATTTGTTTTTTTACCACAATTTCGATGACTGGCAGATAAAACATGTCAGTGCGTGACATGTTGCATGACACGTTGACGCAAGCTGCATTGTCTGTACTCTTATCGACAACGGCAAACTGGCCAATCAGATTGCGACATTACTGCAAATTGTGGTAAAAAAAAAATAAACTGGACTTGCGCTTCACTGTAGCACGATTATTTTTTTTTTTTAATCAGGCCGAGTTGGACTGCACTCGCTCATATTCAAGAAAATGTGGTCGCTCGTTGAAGCTGACCATTTAATTGCAAACTCAAATGACTGTTTGGGCTTTGAGACAAATCTTATTATTAGCATTTCATTCAAGCTCTGACGCCAGCACCCACTTTCACATTGAAACTTATAGTATTACCATTATCGGCAATCAAACAAGAGAACCCTGCATTAAATATTTTACCTCTTACAGTGTAATTAACCCTTCACACTCTTATATCAGAATATGTGTTCCCCATACTGTTCTCTATACATTTTCTTAGGGGTGGACATGGAGAATTTGTTTAACAATCAAGAGCTTCTTTAGTTAGTGATCATTTCCTTTATTCTCGTGACCTGAATGTGTGATTCAGAGGTGATATTGTAAGGAGAAATTAGATGCTGGTCTCTCTCAAAGATCAAAAGGTCGAAAACTGATCTTGTTTCTGTCTCTCATAGAAAAAGGAGAATAACAGTGGCAGGGTATTCCATTGGGTGTAAATATCGCGACTTGATCATGAAGATAACTTGAGTTCATGTTTGCGCTGCTAGAAATAGTTGGCAGACAAAATTATCATATTAATTAGAGAAAGAGCGATCGTGGATGTGATAATATCCACAGGCGTTTATTTGCCTTTAATAACCGACGTTATTATTTGTGAAAAAAAAAGGGGGATTGCGAAAGAAAAAAAAAAAAAACAGGAATACGTTGACCAACAAATCTATTGATTTCACTTCTCGCAAGAGAAACACGGGATCAAAAGAATATTTGTCATGTCAAGGATTACATTTGGTTCATGTCTTTCTACCGTAAAAAATTACACAAAGACTTTTTCAAAAAGCCACGCTTTCGCCTCTACTCAAATCAATATCTCAATTGCGTGTGAAATAACCCTTGAAGCGAAAATTCTACTAAACACAAAATACTCCAAGGATCTTCAAAGATGTTTTGTCGTAGGTGTGAGGCAATTTAGATCAGATCCATTGAGGAGTATTCACATTTATAGGTGATTGTTTGTGGGCAAAAATATAGACTTGTTTCTGTGTTGTCACTTTTGTGTACCGGTCTTAGTTGCTTTCATGTGGTACTCAGTGAACGAGAAGTGATTCTGACCTTTAAGGGAATACTTTTAAGAGCCATAGAGAACTCTGAAAGGAAAAAAAAGCAAATTGGTGAAAGCGCGGGAAAATTCACGCCGGTGACCGAGTAAAGCAAGGCAAAACGCGGGTGACCGAGTAAAGCGCGGGAAAACGCGGGCGACCAAATTGTAATCGTTTGTAGTTTTGCATCTTCATTCATGCCCAATAAAGTAAATTTTAGACCCTCTCAATTCTGAAAACTGCCTGTAAGGAAAACTGCTTTATCCAGCAAGGTGACATAATCTTTATACCTGATTCTACGTGATACCGTCAGGGCATTTTATTGATGCCGTCATTGCATTGCCTGTTGATAGTAAAATCAATATTCACACCGCCCGTAAAGGCAGGTTTTCGAAACTCAAGAGGCACTTGAATATTAGCCTAATCATAATAGTCAACATCAGTCAATATAAGCCAGTGACTAATTATATCGCTCGATTTTGCATAGCAACGCGTGGATTCGTAAGACTTAAAACAGACTTTTGTACAACAAATGAACCCTTTTAAATTAGAGAGAAGAATTTTTGGTTGCAGGAAAGCTGCATTTCGTTTTCAACAAGACAGATCAACTTTCCAAGTAACTCCTTTTTATGTACAAGCAGAGTTGAATTTTTTCCATGTTGTCACCCGATGTAGTTTCAGTTGTGAACAGTATAGTTCAGCAAGATAAGAAACTACACTAAAAAGGTTAAAAAAAAAGTCGCGGAAACTTTCCATGCATGCACGCGCAGAAAATATCGTGCTCTGTTGCGTAGTTTGACTCGTCCTCGCTTGTGGCTAATTTTTCTTTTCTTCGTGTGGCCCGTAATTTTGATATTTTACTCTTTCTATTTTTATCATCTGTGTTTGTATTATGACCCTGAGTGTTGCTAAAATTATCATTCACTATTTTCAGTATCCATGGGTTCTCACCTTTTACAGATAGGTCAAAATTTTCTGGTACCTGTTCGACTTAATCATCGGCAGACACCTTAACTTCTCCTGGAAGAGTGTTGAAGAAATTGCGAGAGATGTTGCCGAGCCTCAGCTTTCATTTAAGTAAAATTTTACTCCATCTTCTTCAGTTAAATTCAATTTTTATTGTCCTCGATCGTCTCCGTCTTCGACGATATGGAGAATATCAAAAGCAATGACTAAGTATTTTGAGGAGGGCAAAGTGCAGTGCGATCGATAATTCTGTTCTGCTTTTTTTTTTTTTGTGCTCGCACTAGACCAAGGTGAATATTGAAACGGAAGGACGCCCATTAAGAGGCAAATTAAAAACTTAGCTTCCCAACGATGATAGCGGTGGCATTGCGCAACTTGAATTTTAAGGGTTTTAGCTAAGAACTTTAGGTCACGAAAACATTTCATTGCGCATCATTCAAGTGAATTCCAAGAATCGCTTACAGGCACCATAAAATCTACTCATATTAATCGATTCCTGAAGTACTGACGCCTGTGCGTCGCTTTGAAAGAATGGCTGAATTTGTTTTTTGTCTCGCGTCTTCCTGTTTCAAAATGTACTCGTCAGCAACAGCTAATTTAGTTGCTATTAAATATATTCTTACCAATGAGTTAATACCCCTTTGCTCAACGATGTCTCTATTTTGTGAGGATGACAAACAACTTTGGGTACTTTAAAGTCGACGAAAAATTGGATTTTGAAGAAGAAAACTTCTACCAGATATACATCAAAGCGGCGTCAATCTGTCGATAATTTACAGTCTATCGCATAATACCCAATCGATTGTGACTTAATCGTAAATTATCGCTTTCTCGTCTAGGCAGCAATGTCATTAAGACTTGTGTTTTTAAATGGCCATAATTTATAAGCCCAGCTGGTTAAAACCAGCTATAAGATTTTTGATATGTAAAACAGATACAGTCATTAATTCTCTGATAAAAAAGAATTTGACAGACGGAGGAGCGAATCTGAACCTTTTCAATTCCATTGGCCAAACTCTGCGGGTTAAATGTCTTCCTTCGTTGTAAACTGCAAGAAAAATCCTTCATCCTCCAATTATCTGCCATGAGAATATTAAATCAATTCCTTTTCACGGGTTTTTATCATTCTCAACCAAAGCAGTGACGTCAAAAGAAACTAAAATCTACGAGCTAAATAGGTAAAGTATTCGCCAGCAATGGCAAATCGAGTTCAGTCAAATTTAATTACAGAATTGTTGAACTTTACGAACAAACTAATCAGCACTTTGTTTACTTTTTACCCTTCATTTTCATGACACTCTGAGAACTAATTTGTAGCTTTAGGACACTGGTTTGATGATTTATGATTCCAGTTTGTTTGTACGGAGGCCCGAAAGGGAAATATTGTCCACTTCCTTTCAGAAAAATATACGTATTTCAACTCGCAGCTTTGATTAATGGAAAAAAAAACCTTCTTTAAGAGGATTCAAAACTCGACCCTCCGTTATTCCTTTCACAAAAATCGTTCGCAAACAGTGAAGAAATACTGAATGAGATCCAGCGATTAATATGGTTGTGTTGTTTTTAGACTATACTATACAGAGGTGTGTAACAGATTTCGTAAGATTTGGAGATCTCATGCGAAATGAGCTTTTTAGTTTTAAATCATGACATTGCAAGTCGTGACGAAATCATTTCGGTTTGACCTCTGACCAACTAATTGACCAAAAACTACTTTAGCTCTCTGTTTTCTTGTTATGTTAGAGTGTGATCCCTTAATTTGAATTGTAAAATGACCGATCAATGGTTATCACTATCAATGAGGGCAGATTTCGGTGGGCGGGTAGTGAATTGCTTCGCACCTAGGTTTGAAAACCTTTCAATGCAATAAAACAATACTAATGTAACTTTAAGTGTACCTGATCTCTTGAACTCTTCGGAATAACTGCAACTCTGCGTGAAATTCGTCGTTTTTGTCCTTACGTTCGGCTCACTTCCTTTTGAGCCACAATTGTTGTCGGGCTTTGAAGATGTATGCTCATCAAGCCTGTTCATTCGAAGCAAGGCAATGCCGATGATCAGACAAACAAATCCGGTAACTGCTACGGTGCAGGCAAATACCAAAATCTTTCGTGATATCTGCCGTTCTTTTCGAAGTGCTTGGACTTCTGAATTCTCCAAGTCGCCTGAATACTGGTTGCTTCGAAGAAACTGTAATTCATGGTTCATTGAACCCATATCTTGGTAAGCCTCTTGTAAAACTTCAATTTACGCGCTACAATTTATGTGACAAAGCTTTCGTGCTTCGCACTTAGCTTCGTGGCTTCTCGCCCTTGAACATTACAGCAATAATTTTAAATGTTAAAACTGCTAGCGTTTTATGAGTCACCCCTTGAAGACCGAAGCCCGTGCATGCCTCCAGTTATAATGTCATTGAAGTCGGTGCGAGTTTTCTTCCTACAATGTAAATGAAAGCAATGTTGAGGTTCAAAGGTATTCTTCAAGCAGGCAAATCCGAAGCAACAAGAACAATTAACTTAATTACTTAATGGTCGCCTCAGAAAACACACACGCTGTGATTCGATGTTAAGGTCACCTTTCCTCAAAAACTGCGGGCGAAGATCTTGCTGGGATGATGTGGCAGTGATGAGTTGACATCGAGATCTTGCAAAGCTAGCGCTGCAACAACTGCAACGAACCGTGCCGGGAGAAGGCTTCGGTCAATAACAAGTCTAGATGGATAATCAACTATCTTGCGTACTGAAGTTGCTTTTCGGTCCGGTGAGTCTAATATTATTTTAAACAACGAAGAGCAAAAATTTCCACTGTTAAGTGAGGCAGACAGATGGAATCGCCACTGCATATTGGCTGAAATGTTCATGTAATTTTTTACCCTCCAAATTCTAATTTTGACCAAAAAGATTAATGATTCCTCGACAAAAAAAAAAAACTTTCCTGTCAGTGGAATATCGATGTGAATGAAATTTTTAAGTGGTAAAAATTCTAGATAGCAATTCTTACTGCAAAAAAATTGCAAAAATTCAATGGAAAATACTTACGCCAAGGAGTCAGTGAATTATCAGACCCGAGGTCTCCTAATGACGTTCATTTATGCGAATTTCTAGTCCTCAAGGTTTTATTCCATTTTAATTGCTCGAAGACAAAAGCCTGACACATGTAAATTTGCTCGTTCAGGCTGGTCTTGATACAATTGCCTTTATTGAAAAAACATGCAAAAGTAAAGATAACATCTTCACACGGGAAACAATTACTCCAAAGAGGTCGAGAACTCACGTCAACGAACGTCAACACGTCAAAAAATCAAAGTGTTTTCGCCTTTATCGAGGTTAGCGGCCTGAAACTGGAGGAAAATTTCAACTTGCGGCCAAAGCCTGGAAATGCATAATGTAACGAGGACGAAATGAAAAAAACAAACAATTAATAAACGACGTGAAAGATATTTGACATTGGTGCGGTGTCGAAAAGGCTACCGCCTCAAGTATACATCTCCGCGCTCTTCACGACGCATGCCCAGTTGATCAGCGTGATGTCATACAGTTCCCATACACGAAAATCGAAATTTTTACGGTAACTGGAAAGATTTCGTCGCACAAAACAGGAACTTCATGACGAAAAATCATCGACACTAAGCATAAAAACGATCGAATTGTTCGTAAGCTGATACAACTGGCTTGCTGTCGATCGGACTGATGATATGGTTAAATGAAGATTTTGCCAGAAATTAAGTGAGACAAAGAGACCGCAGAAAGAAGATATTGAATTGTCGTTTAAACTCGCGCTCATATTCAAAGAATACGGCAGTTTTCTTGGCTTTACGCCGAGTCCGCCCAAGAGAGATCTTTAAAACCTCAAAACACAAATAGTGATAAAATGATTCAAAGTTCTTGTCAGATCAGCCTTAATTATGTTATGTTTGTGAAGTTCATTTCAAAAGCTAACTTCTAAAAAATTAATTGAAAGACGCAGTTAGGGTTACATACAAGATGAGAAAACCAGAAACCTTCGACGCGTCCAGATAATTACAAATATTCCACCCTCAAATCAGATAAAATATTGTAATACTTACTATGCCACTGTTATATTTTGCGTTATCCATATTTTTTTCTTTGATATATTTCTTTTTCGCAGAATTGGATCCCGGAGCAGTTTAGAACAAAAATCAAAACAACTAATTATTCACAGAAACTAATTTTCAGCTGTTACTAAATATAGCCTATCTCTTTGCTTGACATTCACTTCCTCCGCAAACAAACACAGTGAAACAAAACATGTTTTTGATTTCGGATAATGTTTTCCTTTTTTGAAAGTTGCGAAAGGCAGTTAAACGAAGAATTACTTCCTCTTGTCGTTCGCACGGCATGTTTTGGTTCTGTTTGATTTATTACCCTGGATAGAACTTTTGACTTCTCCTGTCTGATCCTATTTATGGATTTGCTCACTTGTGGAGATACGTAATTTACGAAAAACAATTTCGAGCCCAGTTTCCATGCGGATTTGAAATTCAAAATGGCGGACACTACAGAAAGAAACAAACAAATACAAAAACAAACAAAATAAGACAGTGCAAAATAAAAGCAAACTAAACAAACTCTTGTACTATTGTAGAAACCCACATTAAATCTGAAAAACATTCCACTGAACAGAAGTCCCTTCCCGACATGATGTTTTTTGTCGCATTGGTTGTGTGGTGATGATAATCGATGAAAAGAAATCCCCTTGAATAGAATGAAAATTCTCAATAAAAGTTGGCTGAGTAGACAAACAGCAAAGAAGTAGGAACAAAACAAAATTGAACGAGGATGACTAGGGATGATGAAAATTAATGAGATTAGCCATTACGTGTTTGTCCACCCTTACAACTGACGTCACTTTACTCGTCACTCGTCCCAGGTCTCTGTAATACAACTTAACAAAAGACTACCTTGTGATTTAACCAAGTGTTCACTGTTCATTTCTGCCTGTCTGCCATACACAATGGGCAATACAACCTTTGTTACATAGAAAATTTTACCTCTCACAATTAAAATAAAAATAAAAAGAAAACAGTAAAATGTCTCATTTCAGTAACTTTTGAGAGGAATGAAATATAGACACAGTAGAAATCAGTTCATGCCTCAGGGATTTACATAGCTGACTTTCTATCTGTGGAGCTTTTGCAAAATATTCTGATCGAGTTTTTGAAGGCGAGATCAATGAAAGCTATTCTTAAGAGGCATTATTCAATTCCATTTCTCATGAGTATTAATAATTTCTTCTTTGTTTTATGTGTTTGTAATTTATTTAATCAAATATATTGTTTACACACGTTCGTATGTTGAACGAGTAATAGCCCTAGATTACATACGTGTTTGAATAAAGAATTGAAATTTATTGTATTTATGAAGTAATTTTCGTTGTTGCAGATTTCCCGCCCCCATACTCACTGGGGTCCTTCAGCAGCTGGCTACTTCACATCAAAATTTTGAATAACCGAGGAAAGCATAAAACATATTTTTCCTGCAGTGATTGAGTCTTTCGAGTCCATTGCTGGGAAATCTGGGAAGCCATTCACTATACAGAAGGACCTCGTGCCATTGATGTGCGTATGCGTGAAGGAATCGAGAAACTTGTATGGATATTAAGGCTGATAGTTTCGAAAGAAACTGTTTGGGGCTGCGTCGGTGGGAGTAACGAAATAATTTGGATATATCAACAAAGTTGAAATGGTAAATTGGCCACCGTAACGATTACAATAGCTGACGTTTCGAGCGTTAACCCTTCGTCGGAGCGAAAGACCATTTCAACTTTGTTGATATATCCAAATTATTTGTATGGATATTAGCTTGAAATTCTCATAAATCAAAAGAACAGACCAGAAAATGACTACAACTCAATCTTTTATTTTCTGCGAGATGAGGAAAAGTAGATCATAGTGAACATACCGAATTGCTATTTGATCGTTCGATTAAGTTCCCTAACTAAAGATGAGCAGTTTTGACCACAAAACAATTTTCTTTCCCCATGCAGGTTTCCACGTGTGTCAAAATGATTCTCAGGGCCTCTCCTTTTCCTACCGACCTTTGTGTGTTGTGGGTGAGGGAAAATGGGATACAGGTGCCTAGTGATTGTTTGTTATTAATTAAAAAAATAGAGTTTGAAAGGGAAATAGGTTATACCTTCACTTGCTAACTAAAGCAACAAGTGATAGCCTTCGCATAAATATTCTCTTAACGAAACCTTTTAGAGTCATGGACACTCGTTCTGAGTTGATTCTTGTATTTGAATGGCGGGGGAGAAAGTTTATCGAAGTAACCCTTGTCATTTTTATCATTTTTTATCACCAGTTAAAACTGAACCTGCTCACATTAGTTTCAGGTTTGCTGCCACTTTCATCCAGCTATCGTTGTGATTGCCCGAATGTCTTCGTATCTGCAACGGGTACCAGTTTTCATGAGCAATGTCTTCCCAGTAAGTCTGTAAACTTGAGCTTTTCCTGCCTGGCATGGCCATTCAATGGCTGAGGAAACAAATCCTGACTAATGCTGTTCTGTGTTGCTTCTCTGAAGTCTCAAATGTTACTAGGGAGCTTAAGATACGACGACGGGATATCTACGACGGGGAGCTTGAACCGTGTAAAGACTGGAACGAGTTAACAAACATGTTGAGGATGACTGGGAACAGTTCTTGTTAATGAGTACAAAAGAACTTGCAAAAGGCGAGAAGAAATGTTTGGAACGACTCTGAAAAAATTCACGCTTATCAATCCGAAGTAAGTCATTGAAAAGAAATCCACAAACAAAGTTTTACAAGTGGATTTCACTTTGCACTTGCCGCTAAATAAATTACTTTCATAGGGAAATATTTATGCAAGGGTTTTTTTTCGCTGATGTGTCACCTGTCTCATTTAGTCTAGAAATACGCGGTATAACATATTTACGAAAGTGCCTTTCGAGAGGCAGTGAGTGACCAACCTCGTTCCCAGGGCCGCCAACTAAGGGAAAAGGCCCTTGGAACGAGGTTGGCGAGTCACCCATGAAGTTTATCTTTAATCAATCTGAGCCAGACTCTTCAACAATTTTTCAAGCGCCTCATGTAAATTATTCAATAAGCAAACTTAATGAAATAATTTGGTTCTATCAACGGAGCTGATACTGTAAGTTGGCCGCTAAAGAGAGTTTCTAAAGCTGACGTTTCGAGTGGTTACCTGTATACCCCTTCGTCAATCTCGTTCCCAGGGCCTTTTCCTCTAGTTGGGGGTAAGAGAAAAGGCCCTGGGAACGAGGTTGACCCCTTCGTCAGAGAGAATAACGAAGGGCTAATGCTGGGAACATCAGCTTTAGAAAGTCTTTACAATGGCCAATTCACGCAATCAACTCAGTGGATAAAACAAAACTATCTTTATATACCCCCCCCTACCAATGCAGCACCACAGTTTCTTTAGAAATTTTCTCTCCTCAGCCTTAATTAAAGTTTAGATACATATAACCTAACCTTTAAGCTTTATTACAACAACAATAAAAATATTTACGATAATGTGTTGAAATGGGGAGAACCTCAAAAAGCGCCGCCTACCATTCTAGGAGGAAACTCCAACCTATCTATAGACCTACTAATATAGCCACATAAAGAAAAAAAAGATCAAAATGTATATACAGAAATTCAAAGAGTTAAAAATGTAGAAACCTTCAACATAAAATAAGCCACGGATGATGGTTCTCGAATATCAAGAGAGAGACTATTTCATTCCCCAACTATTCTCCTCATA